CTCTAGTGCCACTCTAACAAAAATATCACAGGTGGAGATGGCTTTAAAAAACAGAAATTTAGTCTCTTACAGTTTAGGAGGCCAGAAGTCTGAGCTTGAAGTGCCAGCTCTAGGGGCTGGGTAAAGGCCCCTTAACCTTGGACTTCAGCTCTACCTTTTGTTCCCGGCCCACTGGAGCTGGAGGCCTCTTTAGTCAGGCTGATGCTGGCATCTGAGGCTGACAAACCCAAGATGACAAGTAAAATGACACCGTTCCAAGATTAGCAGACAACATGGCAGGCCACTGGTTCAAGTCCAGGAATAGTCCCAAGATTGGCAGACAACATGGCAGGCTGCTGAATGAAGACTCAGCTACATGTGGGGTCCAAGTGTGCCAAAAATCTCAAAGACTTTTCTCAAATCTGTCTTCTTATACACTGGAAACAGACCATATCCTCTACTCAGCTGCTCCAGTGGATTCCATCATGGAGTTGATTACCAGTATCATCATGGAAAATAACTACATCCAGCTGCCCAGCCATTCAAAATCAGTTACAGTCGAGCTGACACACAACTTAACTACTACAACCAGTGACATAGCTTCCAGCATCATAGCAACATGCCATAGTAAGGCAAACTGACAGATAGGTGGATGTTATCTCTTATTGTTAGGTGCCATCAAGGTGGCCCTGTTTACAACAGAACGAAACGACTGGTTCTGTACCTTCCTCACCATCCTGCTATGCTTGAGACTATTGTTGCAGCCACTGTGTCAGTCCATCTCATTGAGGGTCTTCTTTCTCGCTGACCCTCTACTTTACCAAGCATATCTTCTCCAGGGAATGGTCCCTTTTGACAACATGACCAAAGTAGGTGAGACGAAGTCTGGCCATTCTCGATTCTAAAGAGCATTCTGGCTGCACTTGTTCCAGGACAGAGTTGTTCTTCTGGCAGTCCATGGTACTTTCAGTATTCTTCACCAACACTGCAATTCAAATGTATCAATTCTTCTACAGTCTTCCTTATTAATTGTCCAGCTTTCACATGCATATGAAGGTATTGAAAATACCTTGGCTTGGGTTAGTCACACCTTAGTTTTCAAAGTGACACCTTTGCTCTTTAACAGTTTAAAGAGGTCTTTTGCAACAGATTTGCCTGGTGCAATATGACATCTGATTTCTTGACTGCTCCTTCCATGGGTGTTGATTGTAGATCCAAGTAAAATGAAATCTTTGACAACTTCAATCCTGTCTCCATTTATCATGATGTTGCTTATCAGTCCATTTGTGAGGATTTTTGTTTTCTTTATTATGAGGTGTTGTTGTTGTTATGTGCCATTAAATCGGACCCGACTCATAGCGACCCCTCCTTGGGTTTCTGAGGCAGTATCACTACGGAAGTAGATTGCCCAACCTTCCTTCCGAGGAGTGGCTGATGGATGTGAACCGTCAGCCTTCTAGTTAGAAGTCAAGTGCCTTAGGCACTATGCTACCAGAGCTCCCATTATGAGGTGTAATCCATCATAAATCAAAGACTGTAGTCTTTGATCTTCATCAATAAGGGCTTCAAGTCACCTTCACTTTCAGCAAGCAAGGTCATGTCTGTGCATATCACAGGTTGTCAGTGAGTCTTCCTCCAATCCTGATGCTGTTTTCTTCTTCATATAGTCCAGCTTTTCAGATTATTTGCTCAGGATACATATTGAATAAGTGTGGTGAAAGAATACAACCCTGACTCATACCCTTCCTGATTTTAAACCATGTAGTATCCCCTTGTTCTGTTTGAATGACAACCTCCTGGTCTGTGTACATGTTCTTCATGAATACAATGAAGTGTTCTGGAATTATGTAGTGTTTACTAGGTTCTCAATAAATATTGTTTAAATAAATGGGTCCCAGTGTTATTGTTTCATCTCTGAGTTCTACATGGAAAATAACTAATATTCTTTTTTTTAATGTTTATTGTGATTTGGGTGAAAGTTTACAGAGCAAATTCACTTTCCATGCAGCAGCTCACATATATTTTGTCTCATGACATTGACTACAATTTCCCACAATGCAACAGCTTCCCTCCCACTTCCTCCCCATAGTTACCTCTTGCCTGTGTCCTTCCCTCCCATGCACTCCTACCCCCTGAGCTATCTCCCTGTACATACACAGTCCTTCTATTCTCCCATGTTTGTTCCTCCAAAGAGTGTTTGATGGGGAAAAAACAAGGAGGAAAAGGATCTGAGGGAAGACACTTAGAGTCACCTGACTGAGAGAATAACCAAGGCAGACTAGAGACAAACCACAGCTCCTAGAGATCCCTGGGATTACTTGGTGAGGGAGCCTGGCAAATGCCTGGACTACCTGCCTCTCATGTGGGAGAGGCATTTAGATTGCTTGGGTATTAAAAGAAGGGAGATCTCTCAAGATTGGAAAGCCTAGAATATTTGGGCTAGCACAGGGCCTACTTTGTAAAATAAAAACTTGTTGCTGATGACTTGATTCTGACTCATAGTGACCCTATAAGACAAATTAGAACTTCCCAATAGGATTCCCAAGACTGTAAATCTTTATGGAAGCAGATTGTTACATCTTTCTCCCAGAGAGTAGCTGGTGAGTTTGAACCACCAACCGTTTGGTTAGCAGGCAAGCATTTAACCACTGTGCCACTAGGGTTCCTTGCTTGCTACCTAAGAACCTCTAAATCAATGGTAGCTTTTTATACTTTATTTGTAACTTCTGGTAAAGACTAAATAGGGCCTGCATTTGAAGTCATATTCATTCTTCCTTAAGCCATATATGCCTTCATATGTGTAGATAGGACTGCACAGTTAGAACAATATTTTCAGTATAGCAGTTATGTCAATAATATGATCATCAGATCAAATGAGACTCAGAGACCAGGCAGGGTAGCAGGGATCCTTGGCTTTCAACCAGCAATTCTCAGTGGCATACCTTTGTGTCAGTCACTTGAAATTTCAAAGAATCTGTTTCTGCAAAAGTAAAATGGGGATTAGTGCCATAATATCTACCACCTGTCTGGGCTTAAAAACACATCTCAACATCAAATTAAAAGAGAGAAAGCAAAAAATAAATTACACTGGGTAATATGCTCTGAAATGTTGACCTGCAAATCACTATGAATGGTAAAATCATTACAGTGTTATATTTCTATAACATTCTTAGCAGATGCCTTGCTAAAGACAAATCTTGATTTTGAGTATTACCTTAGAATGTGATTATAATTTTATTATTATTATTATTATTTGCTGAGAAATAGGAAGTCTGTGTTCAAAAGGGGTTTACTTCGTAAAACTAGATAAACTATACAGAAGATAGAACACTCATTCACAGATCATAATTGTCGGAGACCAAGAAAAAGACCCCCAAAACAACATGATTGCAAGGCACATGTTCTAACAACAGTTAAGAGAAGGTAAGTCCTCTCTTATGGTTGAATGCTTGCTTGGCTCCATCTTTGTGTTCCTGGGGCAGAATGTTGCCTGAGCAGAATGTTTGCTAACCTGTTTCCCTGGAGTAATGTTTTGCCCTAAGAATAGTATACCTTAGAAACCATTCTTTAGAATCATGTACCTTAACAATAATGTTTTAGAATGATGTATCTTAGTGATTATTTGCTAATCCCATAAGAGATATTGGGAGCTCTGGTAGCATAGTGGCTAAGGCACTTGGCTGCTAACCAGAAGGCTGGTGATTCAAACCCACCAGCCACTCCTCGGAAGGAAGATGGGGCAAACTACTTCCATAGTGGTACTGCCTCAGAAACCCAAGGAGGGGTCGCTGTGAGTTGGGTCTGACTCGTCGGCACATAACAACAACAACAACATAAGAGATATTAACCTAATTAATTATCCAATACATTTGGACATGGGAAAATGCCTTGGGTATAAGAAAGAGTAAAACTTTAACTTTTAATTAATAACTGATTGTTATAAGGAAACATTGTATTTTATCGTAGAAAAATATTTGATTGAATACTTGACTGTTTTAAGGAAATATCAAAATTATGATGTAATTGTGTGCTTATGTATAAATAAAGCAGGATGGATGCATCAGGGGTTGCTCTCGCAGAATATGTGGCGCGTCCGCCTGGTCCCCGTTGCTTTTAAAAAACTTTTAATCCTTTTGTGTCACTTTGTTTCGTGACCTGTGTGGTTTTGCTGGATGCAGCACATAATGCTTGTGTCAGTTGTTCACATAGGCCTCATTTTTTGTTTTTGCTATTAAAAATCAATCAAGGACATAGCACAGGGAGAAAACAAGCAAACAAACAGAAAGCAAATTAATGGACTCATTAATAGTATTGGGAAGGGCCATATAAATCCCAAAGCCAGAAAGCTTGTTTAAGACAAGATTCAGGAAAGATCTAGAAAAGTCCTTATGATATCAGACCCAAATGTGGATTTCTTCAGACAAAAGCTTCAAGTCTAACTCCCACTTTAATAATGAAACAGCTGTCAGGGTCGAGGCCCCTGTTGAGGGTCTTTATTTGTGATAGATAACTGGGTAGTTTTTGTTTTGTTTGGAGGAATAAATATTTGAAGTGGGTAACTTAAGAAGTTATGCTGCTGTTATGATGTTATTGATACACAGACTGACGCTATTATGGTGGATGCTATCAGGCTACATTATCTTTATGCCTCCAAGGTAACCTGAAGCAACAGCCTATTGACATGGCATTACTTTACACTGAAGCGTCTGCCCTGCCTGGGGACTGTAACCCAAGACAACCACATGCTTCACAGACAGCTTTCTTTAGCTACTGACAGCCTCAATGAAGGGAGAGCATGAAATCACCAGGGATGGTCACTTTCTAAGGGCAGGGGGGCTAGTAGCTGAGATACTCTCCGAGAGGGGGATCTTGCCATCTCCTAAACTTCTCTCTAGAGGCAATCAGTAGAAAGTCCTTCTCTTCAGGCAAGAAAATAGCTACTAGAAGGAAACTAGAGGTGATCTGAACTTCTGGAAAATTTTCTTTTCCCCTTTGAATTTTGCAATGTTTCACTGCCGGTCATGTCCACCTGGAAAGCAAGGCTCACCAAAAGACTGAAATCTCCGTCTAGAAGGATGCATCCATTTCCATGCTCGGCGCTACTTGCTTGTTTTGGGAATACACAGGAGAATACTCCCTTTGATCAGTCCAGCGTGGCTGATACTCATTCCACCATCTATGTTCAGCCCATGACCAAAACAGGCAGACATCCAAGTCACCCGAGGGAGCAAGAAGGAGCTCCAGAGAAAAGGCAAGATTCCGGCACCCATTCAGAGACAAATGGTAGCGCAAATCGGAATTCAAGTACCCATGCTGCTGCTCAATCTTCTGTGACACTTGACGATATGCCTGGGTCCCTAAGTGCTGAACCAGGTTGTGAAGCAGTTACTTTTCAAACTTCTATCCCCAGACCATCAATTATTGAAATGCCAAAGGTGAGTGTTCCTAATGTTGTTAGAGAAAGCATGGTGTTGAAGGAGAGTTCTGATCATTCAGTGACTAACAGATGGCTTCAGAAAATAAACTTGTTCACACGTGTACTGACTAAGTCTTTGGGGGAGAACTCTTACTAGTGAAATGAAGTGTGTAAAGTGTTTTAAATTCTCAGAAAGTTCTCAAAGGATGGGAAGGGACACAATGACAGTAAGCATTGGAGCCTTAGCAATGGCCAAACTTGACCTATAATTAACCAGCTATGGGAGTTCTGGTGGCATAGTGCTAACCAGAAGCCTGGTGATTCAAATTCACCAGCAACTCCTTGGAAGGAAGTGCAATCTACTTCCGTAGTGATACTGCCTCGGAAACCCAAGGAAGGGTCGCTATGAGTTGGATCTGATTCAATGGCAGTGCATTGTTGTTTTGTTGATGGTGCACCATGGTCAACAGTGTCTCAATAAAAGATTAAGAGCAATATAATTTGAGAAAGCATTTTTTGCTGGTCTGTGAATTCATTACACAAAAATCCATAGTATGACACATACGCAGAATCATAATATGAAATCTTTGATTAGAGAATTTCAGAAATTGACTCTATTTAAAAGGAATCACATGATATCAAAGCAGTCTGGTAAAAGTTGGAAATGGTAATACTTGTACTCATAGCAAGGAGCCCTGCTGGTGCAGTGGGCAAAACTCATGGCTACTAACCATAAGTTCAGTGATTTGAATCCACCAGCCACTCCATGGGAAAAGATGAGGCAGTCTGCTTCCATAATGATTTACAGTCTTAGAAACCCTGCAGGGCAGTTCTATCTGACCTATAGGGTCGCTATGAGTTAGAATTGACTTGACATTAGTAGTTTTGGTTTTGGTAGTCATAGCAGTAAAGAAAAGACTGACCTATAAAAATATTCACAATGTGGATGTTTCAGTGATAATTTTCTGAGACTTAAAGGGAGAAGTAGGAAGTTATTTGAAAAAAATAAGAAATTGAAGGAGTTAAAAAATAACATAGCATCTAAAGTCATTTATTTCTCTATTTTCATCTTTTTTTCTCCCCTTGGCATTACTGCATTTTGATTTTTGAATACCCTGATTGGATCAAACTGCACGATCACTTCGAAGTTCTGGAGGGATAATTTGGAGAGGCAGCATAGAGTCAGGGTTCCTAGAGCATTTTTTGGTTGTGTTCCTGGTCAAATAGTTTAAGAACAGATTTTTTAAAATAGAAGACTTTGGGAGTCCCTTACTAAGATATTATTTTTCAAAATAGTTTTTTTCATCTAGTTTAACCAAATCTCTTGTTGTCTGGCTTGCTGAGCTTAAGAAGCTTCATTAGCAATGAGAACTGTAAAACAGTGAAGATATGGTTAAACATAATTACAAAATAGTTTCCTTCAACTATCTGTAGTTTTGTATTAAATGACTGAAGCTCAACTCTGTTGTCTGTATCTTTCTATTCTGGGAGTGAACAGAACAACAACAACAATAACAACAAAAAAAACTCACTGCCATCGAGTCAATTCTGACTCACAGCGACCCCCTTTGAGTTTCCAAGGTGCTAAATCTTTACTGAAGTAGATTGCCCAGTCTTGCTTTCACAGAGGGACTGGTGGGTTTGAACCACCAACCTTCTGGTTAGCAGTCAAATGCCTTAGACACTACACCAGCAGAACTCCTTAGAGTGAACAGAGGGTGTCACAAAACCCTCTGTTATTACAATATAGTTATAGCAATAACTGTAGTTTTTTTCTAACACCACTAAAGCAAAACTCCAAACCAATGAGCCACCCACCCACCCACCTATCCAATCAACCAACAAAAATATCCCTAGCAATTTGTTGTTCAATTTTTACTTTATACTCACATCCAGACCAAGATATATTTTTTAGTAGTACTGCAGTTAGCTGAGTGGACTTCATGGCCAAGTTTATATTTTTTTGGAAGTTCAAAGATGTAATGATATACTATTTTAATGAGCTTGTTGTTGTTGTTATGTTCCACGGAGTGGGTAGAGATTGCAGCAGCTCAAGACCCCTCCAATATTGCTAAGCACAGCAGCAAGTATTTGAATTTATCTTTCTTTTTTAGTGGCATATGATACACAGGTACCCAAGGTAAACAGATGTATTTGAACATAATAAAACAGTGGATTAACACCCCTGCCTATTGTATACTTGGTATGAACAAAGCCCTAGACTACAGAAGTGAGTCAGGATTTAAATGGAACCAACCCTAATGCAAGGCTGAATGTTTCACAAAGAGGCATACCTAAGAGGGTTCAAAGGAAGATTGGAAGGTCAGGAAAGGTAACTTAGAGGGGAGGTGACATTTGAAATTGGTCTAAAAGAAGCATTAGGATTTTTAGAAGCAGAAATGAAGAAGGCGTTGGAATGAAAGAAAATTTTATCAACAAAACCATGGATGTAGGGGAATGCAGAGTAGGAACAGGTACGTCAGATTGTCTGAAGATTAGGCCACGAATTGGAGAGATACTCAGAAAGGGAGATTGAGGCCAAAAGCAGGATGTCTTGAGCACAGTAATGAGTGGTTAACTTAGTAGACAGTGGGAAGCCTTGAAAATTTTGCACAGAGGAACGTCATGCTTGTGATTCATTTTGGGAAGATTAATAGGTAGGTCTGGGTAGGGTGAATTAGAGTTGGAAAGGTTGGAGCTGATGGGTTTTTGTAATAACCAGGCCTGAAGAGAGAGTTGGAAGCTGAAGTGGGAAGGAAAAAGAGCAAGGGACCTTATAGGGTAGCATTTGCAGCAGTTGTTTGTGGGACCAAACTGGAAAGAAAGGAAAGTGAAACTAAACTGGAAATGATGAAATGAAAACAGTGCACAATTAAGTGTCAAGGTGTGCAAGAAAAGCAACTTCTGTGGGCCCAGTAAATGGACACCTATTCTAATTCAACTATGAGTGGTGCAATTGATTAACACACTTGGTTGCTAACCAAAAGGTTGGAGATGTGAGTCCATCCAGAGGTGTGTCAGAAGACCTGACTATTAAAAAAAATATCAGCTGTTGAAAACCCTATAGAGCACATTTCTACTGACACACATGGGATCACCATGAGTTTGAATGGACTCAGTGGCAACTGGTTAACATTTGCAAAGCACTTATTGTATGCCAGGAGCCCTGGTGGCACAGTGGTTAAATACTTGGCCGCTAACCAAAAGGTTAGCACTTTGAACCCACCAGCTGCTCTGTGGGAGAAGGATGTGGCAGTCTGCTTTCATAAAGATGAGAACCTTGGAAACCCAATGGGGCATTTCTACTCTGTCCTATAGGGTCACTATGAGTCAGAATCAACTCTGCCACAACAGGTGTAGGTATTTGGTTTATTCTTCGCCAGCCAGTCTTCTAAATACTTTACATGGAGGATTTCATCTAACCTTGATTATGGTGAGGTGCATATTTTTATTATTCCCATTTTACAGATGAGGATACTTAGAAACTATAATACGCTTACCAGGTCATAGAGGGAGTAAGTGGTAGAGCCAGGATTGGAGCTCAGTTCTGTTCGGTTCAAAGTCCATACTCTGAATTATAATATGCTCATACTACTAATTATTATTTGTGTGGTGTTTTAGAATTCACAATCCACTATTCTTATGTGATGTCTCTTCATATGCAATCAAATTTAAATTCCACTTATGTATGTTGTATATCTATATGTTACAGTCACACACTGCATAACGTCAGTTCAGGCAGCATCAGATTGCATATACATCAGTGGTAGGTTATAAAAGAGTTTAGAACAGGCCATAGTGAACAAAATAGCTCCCTGTATGCAACACATGTATCTCATGTCTCTTGTATACTGATTGTGTTGCCAAACATATAATGGTACAGTACATGTTGTTGTTATGTGCTGTCGAGTCAGACCCAACTCATAGTGACCCCTCCTTGGGTTTCCGAGACAGTATCACTACGGAAGTCATGATAAAATCCTGTTACTGGCTTATTGTGTACTGTACTTTCTATCTAAAAAGTTTACCATGTAACTAAATACTTCAACTCATAGGCAGCAGCATCAAATCTCATGTACCATGCATCTCTTGAGTGTCTTAGTATTATCTCTTTGCTTAGTTTTCTTTCAAAAATATTACTGTGAAGTGTATCATGGCTCCTAAATGCAGCAAAACCAATGCCAGTGATAGCAGCAGCAAGAGGCAAAGGAAAAGTATGGATTTGGAAGTGAAACGAAAGTTTATTAAATGACACAAAGATGGAAACTCAGTGAATTCTATTGCTCATGATTTAGGCACATCAAACTTGACAAACACAATGATCCTCAAAAACAAAGTTAAAATTCTCCAAGCTGTTAAAGGATCCAGTTCCACTGAAAACTACAAGGCTAATTAAATTGCAAGAGGGACCTATATAAGATATGGAGAAATTGCTAATGATGTGTATTGAGGACTGAACACAAAAGCAATTCCTTTCAGTGTGTTAATGATCACTGGTAAGGCAAGAAGCTTATTCGAGATGCTTAGAGAAAAAGCAGGACTAGACTACAATATGGGGTTTGCACAACATCCAAATCACATAACGTCCCATTTCACAGAATGTATCATGAATATTAAGCAACACATGCCTCTGTGTGCATGTGTGTGTTTGTGTGTGTGTGTGTTTGTGTGTATATATATGTTGTTGTTGTTGTTATTTGCTGTCGAGTCGGCCCTGACTCATAGCGACCCCTCCTTGGGTTTCTATATATATGAATGTGTGTGTGTGTATAAAACCCACTGCCATTGAGTCAATTCCAACTCATAGCAACCCTGATTGGATTTCCGAGACACTAAATCTTTATGGAAGAAGAGTGCTCAGTCTTGCTTCCATGGAGTGTCTGGTGGGTTTGAACCACCAACCTTCTGGTTAGCAGTCAGATGCCTTGGGTGCTATGCCACTAGAGTTCTTTATATATATATATATATATATATATATATATATATATATATATGTGTGTGTGTGTGTGTGTGTGTGTG